GGACACCCTGGGGATACTTGGGGACACCCTGGGGACACCTGGGACACCCTGGGGACACCTGGGGACACCTGAGACACCCTGGGGACACCTAGGACACCCTTGGGATACTTGGGGACACCTGGGACACACCCTGGGGACAGCTGGGACACCATGGGGACACTTGGAGACACCTGGGACACACCCTGGGGACACCTGGGACACCCTGGGGACACCTGGGGACACCTGGGACACCCTGGGGACACCCTGGGGACACCTGGGACACCCTGGGGATACTTGGGACACCTGGGACACCCTGGGGACACCCTGGGGACATGTTGGGGACACTGGGGACACCTGGGACACCCTGGGACACCCTGGGAATACTTGGGACACCCTGGGGACACCCGGGAGGGGTTGGGGACACCCGGGAGGGGATGGGGACACTTGGGAGGGATTGGGGACACCCAGGAGGGGTTGGGGACACCAGAGGGGTTGGGGACACCTGGGACACCCTGGGGACACCCAGGAGGGGTTGGGGACACCTGGGACATGCTGGGGACACCCTGGGGACACCTGGGACACCCTGGGGACACCCGGGAGGGGATGAGGACACCCAGGAGGGGTTGGGGACACCTGAGAGGGGTTGGGGACACCCAGGAAGGGCTGGGGACACCCTGGGGACACCCAGGAGGGGCTGGGGACACCCGAGGGGTCCCTGTCACCCACCTGAGGTCCTGGATGAGGGTCTCGGCCTCGGCGTGGGGTCGGGGCGGGGGATCCTCGCGGGGGACGCGGCTCTCGGTGGTGAACATCCCACTGAGATCCCGGTACAGGCACAGCGCTGTCACCTTGGATTGCTGGAATATGGGAATATGGGAATGGGAATATGGGAATGGGAACAGGAATAGGGACATCCCCGGGAACACCCCATAAGGGCTCACATAGGGCCCTGGGGGTTGGGGACATTGGGGACACTCAGGTGTGACACGGGGGGTTTGGGGACATTGGGGACACTCACATACGACAGGGGTGGCCTCAGCAGGGCCAGGCGGGGGTTTGGGGACATTGGGGACATTGGGGACACTCAGGCGTG